GGGGGGGATGAATCCTCTCCTCACCTCCTCCACAGCCACTGCCCACCCAGCTGACCCCACTCACCCATCACACACAACCTTCCTCACACTCCCTGCCTGCTTCTGTTGCCAAGGAGATGGGGGGTGCTCACACAGACCTGCTTTGTGTTGTGTAGGTACCTGGTTTAGCTATTTTTCTAGGGAATTTATTTATTTTTCAAATTTATGGGCAGCCTCGGGCACGTTCCCATGGAGTGAAGCCACTCAGAGCTTCCAGCTCACCCATCCCACGCTGCCTCACACCTCAGCTGCCCAAGTCTCTCATTCCCTCCTTGCCAGCCATCAGCTCCTGCCCTCACCCCTACCCAGAGGAGTTCTCAGTCATTTTGCAATTATGGAATTGAGTTTTGGGGAGTTTTTCTGGGATCAAGCAGCAGCAGAGCTGGCCACGCAGGGACAGGAGGGACAGCCCTCCTCTGGTGCCTGGGGAGAAGGGGGCCTGGGTGGGAATGGTGCCCACCTCCACTCAGCTCTGACAGCACAACTGGTTTAGGGCTGTGCTCCAAACAGGGACCCTGAAATACCTGCATCAAGAAGAAGCAAATATACACAAAACATATTCCCACCACTCAAGAATAATAAGGATGAAGAAAAACTACTGTATGGTGGAAAAAACGCACAACTTCAAATCACACATGGCTGCTGTGCATCAGTGAGAATATAGTTTTTTTAAGGAACTTAACTCTTATTTCTCAAATAGAAATGATGAATTCCATCAATTCCATCTCGAGGTGAAGGATCTTACCTGTAACTTGCCTAGGTTTTACTCTTGTCCCTCTCAAAGTGGAACAAAGGAGTCAAGGTGCTAAACAGTGACACACTCGACAAGACAGTAGGATTTTCATTTTCACTTAAAGAGGCTGTGCCTAAACATCAGCACGTTGCTCCCCTGGGAAATTAGATATATTGTTCTTCATATTCCAATCTGCCATAATTGGGCAACACTCCAACACGTTTGCTTGAAATTAGAGCACCAAATGCATCACAGCAAACTAGAAAGCACTCGCGACTTTTTTTTCCTTTGGCAACCTAATTTTGTTATTGGATTGAAAAAGTACATAAGTGCTGAAGTAAAACCATACAGCACTTTTACAGTGCAGTAAAAGCCAGATTTGTTATGCATTTATTCAGCACTTCCACGGCAGCGTGGTACATATCACAGCCCGAACGCTGCTCGCATTGTTTGTACAAGTCGTCTATTGACTTCGGAACAGGGAAACTCCCAGGAGGAAACCAAACAGGGTGCAACCCAGCTGCTTACAGAGAGTAACAGTAAATAAGCCGAGCAGGAAAACAAAGGGAAAATATACTGTTTCCCAAGGAAAGCTATTTCTGAAGGAGCAGAACAAAGTAAGATCAGGCAGCGGCTACGAAGCCGCCCCGCAGTGCCCTCGGAGCTCCTGCTCGCTCTCCCACATCTGAGGCAGCACAGGGCAAGCCTCGCTCAGGTGCCACAGGAAAACAAGGAACGTGACTGAACGCCTAAAAGCAAGTTTTAAAGAATATATTTATTCCCTTCCTCACAGGCATTGGATGTAACACTACCACACAAAATAAAGGAGTCCTGGCTTGTCCTGGTCTCTGGCGCAACCCATTCCCAGGACACCCACTGTAGTGCAGGGTTTGGTCACTTCAACTTTGCAGGCGGAGGACAGATCTGTGCAATTAAAATGCAGTTTTAATCCCCCAGAGTTCAGCCAGGGGGATATCGTAACAGGGAGGGCTTTTGTGTTGGGCAAATGAAAGGCAGGTCAGCAGCACATGCTGCCCTCCTGATTCACCCCTTCAACAATCTCCCAAATTTGCCAGCCTGGCAATTTTCACAAGCAGGGAAGTGTCACTTGCTAAAAAAACCTTCCCAGATACTAAGGAGCAAGCTTTACACATGGGGCTGCTTACATGACATTCCCAAAAACCTAAAGATTAGGATCAACCCATACTACTGCAACGTTTTCCTCTTGGCACTTTATAGCACATTTTAACATAACAGGTTGGCCTGTACTTGCCTAAAGCCCTGATGGGCAAAAGTCTTGGCACAAGCACTGGAAGTCTTTAGAGAAGGGGCCTTCCCACCTTGCACAAGCACAGGGCTCTGCACACTTACCTGGGCATGTGGGTCCACACTCAAGCACTGCAGGGAAATGTCACTGCTGAAATGCCATCGCCCCGTGTACCCAGCCAAGCTGCCACCCCACCCAACATACCTTCAAAGCTTAAGACTCTTCTCTGCATCTTCTCTGCAGATGGACAAATAACTGTAAATGTAAGACACTGGTTAGAATTATCATTTGCAATATAGAAAATCTCAGAAATGTGGGAAAATTTGAAAACCTCCAACAAAATCTTAATTACTGTGAATTTAATGGCATTTATCAGGGCACTCAAGCATGTGTCTCTCACTACATATTTCAACAGGTTTCCTGTTTCTATTTAATTATAAATCTGTGAAATAAGCAAAACAAGCTGAATTCAGAATGACTTATTGTAACCTATTTGTTCTGTTCAATTTTTGTGCTAGAAGAACGGTATCAATAGTTCAGGAACTTTACAGTTATGCACTACCTAATCAAAGCTGTTAAAAAAAGAGAGATACCAAGACTTCTGTAAAACAGGGTAGAGAGCCCACCACAAGTCATATACAGGCAAGAGAGAAGCAACCTGTCCCTGGCATGGAGCTGAAAGTGAGATAAAATAAAAGCACAATAAACCTTCACAGACTTGCACATGGAGAGAATGTCCCAGCTGTGGCAAACTTCAGTTTTGGGGGTGCTACAGGGAAGCTGCATCATTCTTTGTACAATGAAGATGAAGGGACAGTAAATTCCCTCACACATTAACCCTCTGGTGGAACTGCACAAGCTTTGGGGCCAGGAAAGAGTCACAATTTCTCTCTTTACAGGTCACCAACACAGAAGAGAAGTGATGTTGTACACGTGCGTTGCCCTGTAAATGCCACCTCTGCTCAGTCATGACTTTGCTTTGAAATGTAAAACTTCTGAGCAGCTTCAGAAATAGTTACCAGTTCTATCATTATAAAAAAACAATAAATCAACAAAAATCTGCAACTGCTCTGCCATGAGAACCTCTCACAAGTGCCAGTGGCTGCACGAAGCAGTGTTCGCTCCAGTACTGACAATAAAGTTAGGTGCCAATTTCCCAGTCCAAAATTACATGAATTGGAACTACTGGAAGGAGATGGATGCTCCCAGCTTTTCAGGCTAAAAGAACAGGAACTTTTAAAAGCTGAGAAAAATTGTAAAGAGTAAAGGGCTGACTGTGCACTTAAAACTCATGTTACAACAAAACCAAGAGCCCCAGTTTTACAGATCTCTCCTTCCTCCCTTGGCCTCTCCAGGGTATTTCTAAGCTACTACTGAACAGGGAGTGCAAAGTACAGCACACCATGTCTTAACTTTAACTTTTCAAACGTGTCTTACCCCCAGTTTTCTGTTGCAAGCAACACCAGAAGGTCAGTTTCTTCCCCACTTACCTCTGCAGACGCTGTGCCAGTGGTGATTAACAATTACATTCACACTCTTGCTACAATTAAATGAAGGCTCTGAGACAGCCTTTTGGCCAAAAGCCAAGGTATTTGTCTCCCCTTAATAACATGGCACAATTTGAAAGACAGTTCGGAGTTTACAAACAATGAAAGTTCTCAGGTCAGTGTTGAACAGGGTGTCAGGTGAGTCCATCCCTTTAGGAGCTAATCCGCTTTCCCAGAGACACTGATCTCCCGAGGGCCGAGTGCCAGATCCACAGCAGGGTGCTGGGGGCAGCAGCCTGTGGGCAGATTTGTCTGTGTGCAAGGAATAATCATCAAATTAATGTATTAGCAGGATTAGGCTCTCACAATTGTGGGTTAAGTCGCCCATGAGAGGAGGAATTAAAGAAAACCAACCCAAAAGCTAAATTTTCAGTACCGAGCGTCAGAAATACTTCTCAGATTTTCATGCTGATAATCAAAAGTGTCCCTGATTATATTCTTTTATAACTGTGCTCTAAATTGTGTTTTATGTCCCATCTTCTTCTGCAAACCATTGTAGTTAATTGTGTTTGAGGAGTGGGTTGCCCTCAAGGAGAGTGTGTTTTATTAAACCTTCGCTAGACAAACCCAAAATATTTCAGAACTCTTCAGACACCTTCCCTGCTTAAAAAACAACCAAACCCACTATCCACTGATCTCAGTCCAAGACCCCTAAGACAGTAATTGAATGTCAAGATTCATAAAGTCACATACCTCCAAAACACTGCCAAAACAAAGCAATATAAAAACACCCCAAAGTGCATCTTTAGGAAACAGCATCCCCTCAGGTAGACTCATCTTTTACTTTACCAAGAAAAATAAATCCAAGTGGAGAAAAGATTTAGAGAGAAAAATACATTAGCAAATACAGATAAATTTGTTTTTAATAAAGGAGTTAATTTTCTTTCAATCCTATATAAAACAATAGCAATTAAAAACTTCATTTTTGAAAGTAAAATATTTACATATGAACAAGTAACTGTGCAAAATTTACATGAAAAAAAAATGGAAAGACAGGATTTCCTAAAAGACAAAATAAAAGGGGTGTAACAGTTGTCAGGTGTTGATAAAAATACTGATCAGCATTCAGTTTACACGCAAGAGAGTTAAATTCTACCATGAGAGTTCACACAAAGAAAGCCAAAGTATTTACAGTCATAAAAGTACTATCAATAGACAATTTAATACAATAACCTCTGAAAATATAAAGAACCAATTAGTATATTTGTAATAAAAAAATAGGTACAAAGAAGGGACTTTGCTCTGGACATCTTTAAAGTAGGCCCACAGCTTGCATACAGTCTTTTAGCAAAATAATTATAGTTTACATAGCCATTTTTATGTTATGTGCCAAAAATTATGTACAATTACTGACAAAATACACCAACCATTTTTCGACACTTGATTCACACTGAGAAACAGTCTTTTGATGATTCCTCTCAACTTTTGATTTTATTTAATCTAAGCTTTCACTTTAGCTAAAAAACACAGTGCAAGTAAAATATATTTATGCTGAAAAGGTTTCTCTTTTTTTCCTTTTTTTCCTTTTTTAACTTTACAGCTTTACAAACTATAGCAAATAAAATGCATTTTTACAGATGCTGCTATAACATTCAGAAGTAACCCTCCTTTATGGGATTTCAGGGCCTCTAATAAGCAATAATGTGATTAAAATTGAGGTTATGTTTAAAATTAACTGTATATCCCTCTAGATTTTGAGCATTTTGGGGAAAGATAAATATTCTTTAAAAATCAGTTTGCTTTGCTAACTGACTGTTTTAAAAAAAAAAAAAAAGCTAAATGAAATGAGGTCATCTGCTGTAGACATATGCCTATATCATGGATTTAGTTGAATAAAACTGAACTAAAATGAACAATTAATGTTGAAACTGCTACAGGGCTGACAAAGGGTAGCTAGTTATTTGCTAAACGATTCCATCAGTCTTTATATATGGCTTGTTTGGCAAGAAGGCCACTCAATCAAGAGATGAGTTAAAATTTAATTGTCCTTTTATAGTATCCACAGGCCTTGTAAGTATCCTCACTGTTACAGAAATGTATTTCTCTCATACTGAAGAGTTTATTTATAAACAGGAATATAAAACTGTTCCATGTAAAGAGGTGGTTGTTTTTTAAACAATATCCCATTTGCTTGTTACAAAAAGGCGTAATTTGCAAATATATTAAAAAATGTCCTCAGGCGTCTCTCCGTCAAAAATACCTTGATCTTTTCCATTTTACTTAAGGAATGCTTTGTATAGCAATAGTGAATGGCTTGTCTCTCGCTCATTTTCTAAACAAAATATGAGGTCCCTGAGGTTCACCCGCGTTATCCTTTGTCGCGTAAACTGTCTGGTTGTTCCAACTCCAGAGCTGCCTGGGACTGCTGCACTTGAACCAGATCCCTGGAAGTGAGAAGAACAAGGAAATCAGTCCATGCTCCCAGGTATTCCCAAACTTTTCAGAGAAAATGTGTGAGGTAAGAACTCAGTGACTACGTACAGGAAGCTTTATGCTACCAGATTAGAGATTTTCTATTTAATCCTTATTTATAAACAACAGTTGAACAATTAGAAGTTTTCGGTGATATTTAATACAGACAAGAAAAAAAACCAACACAAAGCACAGCTTGTATTTTCAGGAAGGCACTAAGGACAGGCAATCCCAACAACCAACCCAAACAAAAGGGACAGAATTCTTCACAACATCAGCATAGAGATCCCAAAGGCAGCCCTGGAGTTCTGGACGACCTGGGGAAGAGTCCTATTCCCTGGACTGGGAGGCCTTGAGTAATGTCCTAGATCCCCCCAGTCTCCATGGCAGGGTGCCATGAGCTCTCCTTTTGGTGACTACAGCTGTAACCAAGCTCGGGACTATGTTTAGAAGCAACTTCCCTGACATTCTCTAATGATGTCTGAATGCTTCTCCATCATTCAGCATCACTCATCCCTCTGCTACACACTGGCAGTTTCCCACACAAAGTGGCAAGATAAACAAGTAGTATATTATTATATTTGTCACTTAAAAAAAGGAGAAAAAAAAACAGAAGGGAAAAAATTGTTTGCTATCTTTAGAGATACCCACATCCTTCAGCTCTTCAGATGCACTCTGTGTAATGCAAGTGAGGTGTAAAGCAAGTCTGCTGGGGCAAACTCCAAGGCAATCTCACTTGCAGAAAACACAGTTCTGATAGGATAGGTGTGATTAATGCAACTCTTGTCTAAAACTAAGGAGCAGGAAGGGCAGGGAAGGAGCGGCCCGGCAAGGACCGGGATCAGGGACTGCCGCTCCCGGCTCAGGCTGCAGTACCGCCCAGGGACCGGCAGGTGGCGCGCGCAGACCGAAATCCAGGCTTTTCCCTCAATTTTAAAGCCGGGAATATTTCGGGCAGCCGCCTGTTGCTGACGGGTTATTTACACCTGCGTAATGGATTCTTTTGGGAACAGGTTACAATTCTGTGGCTCGTGTATAGGTTCTTTTTTCCCTCCAATTTAATTTACTAGAATGATTTTCCCTTTTCTTTTTTTTTAATGGACCTTTGGCACAGTGACAAACAGGTCTAAACACACTCCACTACTAAGAAAGGATTTACCTGCCTGAGAGCTTGGATAATTTTAAAAAACTTTTCTGAACAAGAATACCCCAGACTTAAAAAAGTCAAAATTTAGATTAATGCATGAGCCACGTGAATCAGGTGCTGAGGCTCACACTTAACACGTGAAAATAATGTATTTAAGATCAGTGTAAATTATTAGGAAACCAACCTAAACTTACACTAGAAATGATCACTCTAGGTTAGCAGAACACTGTGTTCAGTGCAGGTGAAGTTGCTTCACCACACTGCCAGCAGTGAAGTCAGAGTCTTGATTCTCAAGCAAGTTACCTGTTGGCCCAGCAAACATCAAATCACCAAAATCCTGTACTGAGAACTGCTCAAAGGCTGGATGTTCAAAGGGATATTTTAAGGCACCTGCACAACTTAGGTCCCTAATTTCCACCAACTTCAATGGAAATTAGAAGATGCAGGAGAGCAGTGGATGCTAACTAGATTTTCTCAAATCCATACATATGATTACTGGACAATAGAAAGAATGGCAGTAAGGGGTTTATTTTTGGTTTTCAAATATCCTTTAGTAGAAACTGAAGCCTGATTTTATTCTGTAGACCATTATACTTTAAATGCAAAGGTAAAATTTCAGGAGTCTTTAAAGACTATGCTACTCCTACAAGGCATGGAGTAAGTTAAGAAGCTTTTTGGTAACTTCCAGTAAAATCAATCATATGGACATAAAACTCTAAAACTGACAGCAAACTGATTTGTTGAATTTGGAAACAAAACAGTGCAACTACTACTTAGAAGTGATTTTACATGTAATTAAGATTCAGTATTCCTAGACATCAAAAGCTTGCATTTACAAATCTGTGCCTAAGTAATGACAAACCTTATTTTCCACACTTCTTGTAATATGCCTTAACCACAAACTGCATACAAATGGTGACAAGTGGAGCCCAATTTAAAAATGTCAAGTGACACAGCAGCAAAAGCACAGCTGTGAGTATCAGATCAAAGGCAGCTGGTTCTTAATTAAACAGACAAAAAGATTAGATTTCCAGGGAACCTGTAGTTAATTGGTTAACCAGTAAGTGATTAATCCAGGATAACTAAATTAGTCAGATTTAGATGAAATACAAACAAGTGTTCACAGTAGATGTAAAATACATCCCATAACCTAAGTGACATTAACAGATCATTAAGGTGGCACAGCTGAGCATGCAGGAGGAAGCAATGCCAACATTAACTCTGCATGAGGTACTTCAGCATATTCCTCTGAGACAACTTCATTTGTGTACACATCTATCTTTGTAAAGTGCCCCATTCGGCAATTTTCATAATTTTAAGCCACATTTATAAACCTTTAATACAGTTATTTGTCAGCTTATATAAAAATAAGTCTTATTATCAGTCACAGACACTTTAGGATATTTCAAAACTTAAAATTACTTTAAAAGATGCTCAAGAGGCTTGATTTCTTTACAAACAAAAGTAACATTTACTAGTATTCAGATTGTTCCCTAACATTTTATATCAAGCACATGTAAATTATTGCTTCTAGAAATTCAGCATAAACCAAGGTAAACTCTTTTGAGGCTTTTCTACAGTATAAATGCTGTAGCACTGAAAATTCAGAATGCTCAAGGAATAATAAACAGAATTATTAAACTATTACTATCCTGTCACTTGCCATCAGGCAAAAAGCCCCACAGGGAAAAATTCTCAAATTATGAAGAGAGCTTTCGGCCCAACAAATGACAATTTTCAAGAATATTTGTTCTTTTTAAACAGTGGAGAAATCCCACATCGAATCTCACGCAGAAAGCAATTTTATATCATTTCATGTTTATTCATTTGTTTAGAAATACAGTAGGTAGTCCTCTGCCAGAATGTAAATTAATATTAAACGAATCAGACACTGAGCATTCTGATATTTAATCTGCAGAGAAATGTTTGAAAAGCCAGATTCAACAGTACAATACACCAAGGATATGCAAGAACACCATAATCAGATGGAAGTGGTCAAACTGATCTGCTGTGAAGACACTAAAACTAAGGCAACTCAACTGCTGAAGAAAGAAATTAGGCAAGTTCTACAACTTGAAGTTCCTGCTGTCAAACTTAGCAGTGATTCAATTCTATCACCCCACCTACCTCAGCAGCATTACTCTGCACTCTTAGATTGGCTACAACCATAAAAACATCTTCACAAAAACTATGGAGGTCCAAAACACAGAGACTTGTGACTACTCAGATTTTATTCCCGATGCCACTCCGCAGATGCTAAAAACCAATCCCAGCCTTGGAGTGAGCAAATCTGAACTCAAAATACACCTGTGCTGCTCAGGGAGCTTCCACAAAACCCGGGAAAAAGCTCTGAACAGAGAGGTTTGCACAGAGGCAGCAAAACCAGAGATGACCATGATACTGTACCTCTGTCCCTGATCCAGATCCCGGTGAGTCTACTTTCCTTTTCTTCCTGGGGCCGATGGCAGCTAACGCAGTCAGGTTGGCGTCCCTCTGCCTCATCTGGGCGAGCTCCTGCTGCTGCATCTGCATCATTTGCCACAACAAGAACAGTTCGTTACTTTCCTCTCAATTTTCAAAATAAAAGTTCCTGTTAAGGTGAACACTCACCTCCTTGGCCTTCTGTTTCAACCTAAGCTGTTCCGGATCTTCTTGTCGAGATCGAGACTGTGTTGACAAAGGATGAACATGAAATGGTTGGAGGAAAAGAAAGAAAAATTAATTCAGTTACGTAAGTAGTTGAAGGTTGTAAGTTTTACACAGCATACGAAAGCTTTTCCTAAACTCCAGCAGGAAGTGGGGAATACCTACCACTCCCTGAGAGGGCAACAGGGGAAAGCAATTTTTAAAAATTAAAAGAAGTTTTCCTGTTTCTTATGGTTTTTTTAAAAAGCACCCCCTTTTTCTGCTTTGTTAAAGATAGCAAAGGAATAGCCAGGCATTCATATCTTAAACAAAACCATTACAAGAGACAAATTACACAGATCTGGGTACAGACACTTTGCATATGAAAAGAGGAATAAGACCTGTACTTTTTGGAAAAATTCTTCCCCTTGCTGTGTAATTATGCATTTATTCAGAATAGATCGTTCTGCTACACCTACACATACAAGTCAGGCTCCTGTGTGAACAACTGCAGCTGACTGACCCACAGACCATTTACATCAGCAACTGCCCATTTCACTGGGCACCTGCAATTCCTTGTGTGCGTCATACTTTTAGAATCACTGAATTGCTTAGGTTAGAAAAGACCTGTAAGAACATCAAGTCCAGCCATTTCCCCAGCACTGCCAAGCCCACCACTAAACCATGTCCCCAAGTGGCACATGTACATGTTTTTTAAATACTTCAGGGATGGTGACTCAACCACTGCCCTGGGCAGCCTGTTCCAGGGCTTGACAACCCCTTTGGTGATGAAACTGTTCCCAATATCCAATCTAAACCTCCCCTGACGCAACTTGAGGCCATTTCCTCTTGTCCTATCAAATCCTGACTCTTGTTAATCCCACCCATTCTTTAGACCAACACCAAAATAAATTTGAATTTTGACATTATCAATTCATACTGGATCATGAAATCAACAGAAGCCTTAGGTTGTTTTGTGAATTATTCTAGGGCGCTCTTATCTAATCATATTCATTCTATATTCACTGAGTAAAACCCACAGTTTAATGTCTACATCAACTGCTTCTTATTTATTGCATTTCTCCAACTTGTAAAAATCTTTCTGAGTTCTATTTCTAGTCTCCAAAACACCTATAACCTCTCTACTGCATTTAAGAGTACCAAGCTATAAATTCATCTTTTTCACAATGCAAAATGCAAAAACTAACTTTTAAGGCCTACTTTAATTTGGGACCGTGCAATGGGACTGCTAAAGAAGCTGTTTCATGTGCTTTACCACGAAAAGCAAAACTGAGTTCTAGTTAAGAACACATTCATCAAGTCCCATCTTTGAAGATTAGTCTTTCCCTTCACCGCAAGTGTTTTAGAAGGAAAAGAAACTCTGCTGTTTTGATGTCAAAAATGACACTTTGTGACCACGTGTGGAATCCAAGCACTTGCCTTTGCCGCGCGCATTAAAATTTCCCTTTCTTGTTCATCTTTACGCTGCTTTTCTATTTGATCAAGCTGTTCAAAGAACTTGAGCTGTGCCCGAACGTCACTCGCTTGTTCGTATCTTTCATCATCCTGAAAACACAGCAAATATGTTTCTCATTACTTTCTTAAAAACAAAGCTGTTAACTTGTACTGTACTGGGGGAGAACATATACATTCAAAGCTCCAGTGTTCACGGTGTCCTTTTCAGACAAATAGCAGGTGTATATTTACACCAGTCAAACCAGCTAGAACTCTTAAAAGCGTTTTGTTCTAGTCCATGAATCATCAGATTTTGACTTCTAAACTAATTCCATCACAGCTTTAACCTCTCAAACATATTTCACAGAGCTGTGTGGCTTTTTTAAACGCTGCTCAGGCATTTGCATCTATTAAGAACACACATCTGTCACATAACAGTCTCTTGAGAATTCAAAGTAGTGCTTTTATCTGTCTGTCTGATTGTACAATCACTCAGACTCCAAACATTTGACACAATGAATAAAGGGGAGGGGCACAGTTTCTCAGCATTTGTCTTAAAACCATTTTGTATATGCAAGTTGAAAAGTTCTAGTCACCCATGTGTATTAATAACTTAATGGCAGATGAATCAGTCAAAGAGAATAAACAACACCTGAACTCCTGCATTACAGCCAGCACGACAGCCTGCTGAATTCCTGCAATTTTGTCACTTTGTGCAATAAAATACAGTTACCTTGTAAGAAATATTCCTTTGTTGAGCAGTCTCTGATAACTTTTCCACGAGGTTTTGTAGTCTTTGTTGTGTAGCATGCGATACGTAGCTAACTACATCAGGATGGATTTCTGTTATTCCGTGTTTTTTACCTACAATCAGGACAGAAGTCAGTTGTAAATAAATATGTTACAACAGAGCTAAATGTGAGGTCATTCTCAGTCATGGAAGTTCAAATGCCTTTTTCAAAATAATGCTTTTGGGTATTGCTCAGACAAGCATCAAATAGAAAATGGCATACATGTGAAAATTTACACTAGTTTAACAAAAGTTACTGTATATTAACAAATGCTTAACATTTGTTAACATAAAGTTACCATATATTAACAAATATTACAGTATAACAAATAATTGAAGACTGCTTTTTGTTTCACCATCAACTCTAAATTTCTAAGTAAACATAATAAAAGTGTTTCTGAGTTTATTTCATTGTTTATGTCATGTTTGTTACACTGTATCAATTTATACAGTCAGAATTTTAACCAGGTCAAGTAGTTTTGTGGTGATTGCCATCAGTTTAGAAGACAATTCTATAGGTTTGCTACCTCTTGACACTATTCTACTTACATAAGCCAAGTGATTGCCCACAAGCATCAGAATATACCAGAAAATATCAGAAGGTAACAACTCCAGCTTTAAACCATTCAAATCAATTTCCATGGAAAATGCTTTGAATTAAACCCAAGAGTAGTAAAATTTGGTTTATTAATGTTCAAGATAAAACAACATACCTATTTCTAATATCCTTCTTTGTAAAGGTGCTGGGAAAAGGAAGGTTTCATCTTTACAGGACCTTGTTAATGTGCCCACCAGCTCAGAGTTTGTTGCCAATATCCGAGCACTTTCTTCTGACAGGTTGACTCCAGCCATTGATGCAACATCATTAATGTCATCATCATCCCTTAAAGAAAGGAAAACTTATTATAATACTGTATTATAATATTTAGTGCCTATCTGTGCACACTGCTACAATACCACAGTTGCATAGAATGAATTCCACAATTCCTGAGCAACTCCACAAAATCAGAATATTTTTATTTTTGCATTTGATTTGCTTTTCTTACATGATAAAACTAATTTAATTGCAAATGAGAAATTACTCCTTTCATTTCAAAGAGCACTAATTTTGTAGTTCCTGCTTTTTCAAGATCCCTGCTTATGAATTGTTTCAACACCTTAAGAAACAAGAGACCAGACAAATCACTACCACAAAACAATAATAATCTGCCCTCATCACTTAGACAGGTTGTACATCCAAATAATTCAAGCAGAGCTGAGAGAAGCGAAGGAATGAATTCCATTAGCTTGTCTGGGCAGGAATTGTTTATGAGGTTTAGTGCCAGCTAAATGCTAAAACCAGTCTGGCACAAATATGTCCAGCATTGTCTGTTGAAGTCTTTAATGAAGAAGCAAACCTGCCCTCAGAAAATCCACCTCTAGGTTACTGTGAGTTTCCCCAGTTGGATTCAGCACCACTGCAGCACCCAGGAAAGGCCCAGAGTTCAGCTGCCCAGGCAGCACAAGGACAAACATCCAGTGCCTCACCTAAAAGAGCCTCCCCCAGGTTCTTTCAGTTTATTCTTCTGAGCAGCAGCTACTTGTGTTGAAACAGTGGCAATAGCTTTGTTTCCAGGTAATACTGCTGGTTTTACCACAGGTACTGCAAGACAGACAAGATTTGTACTACATCAGTAAGAGTTCGGATTTACAAGCCAGTCGCAGGTAGTTATGGCAATAGATCTGGTACAAAGACTTTACCTCAATAGCTTCTGACAGCATTTCATCTAAAAAGCAGGACCCTCCCACACAATTCCAGCACCCACAACAATTTCTGACTGTAAATAATGCCCTGAGGAATGTGTATCCCCAGCCACTACGGCACTACACACTGAAGATTTTAGCAGTAGTACAAAAGCCATCACCCAGCTCCAGGGCATTTAAGAACTGACATTCATAGAATCACAGAATGGTTTGGGTTGGAAGGGACCTTAAAGATCATCTAGTTCCAGAACCTTGACACCTTCCACTAGACCAGATTGCTCCCAGCCTCATTCAGCCTGGCCTTGAACACTTCCAGGGATGGGATGCCAATTTCTCTGGACAAGCAATCCCAAAACTACACTTCAGGTAATGCCATCAAATAGGGCATTTACCAGGTATCTTGACCTCTTACCTGTTTGAAGTTGATTCAGTTGAATTTGAGGAGTTGTGAGCATAATACGACTGTGTGGCTGCCGCAGTGCTACCATGGGTGTCTGTGTCAACGTTACTTGGGGGGGCCTTATCAATGCCCCTGCTTTCTGAGACTGTTGGATAACCTGCAAGTAACAAGGAAAAAAAGCACTGTCAATAATCTGACAATCAAGTGGGAAGAACAAACCCTAAGAGCACTTTAATCAAGATGGATTTTAAACTACACTTTTTTTCCTAGTAGCTAGTTTCTCTGAAGAGCTCAAAGATCTTTGAGCTAAACCACTTCAGGCTGCACTTCAGCTCACGTACCAGTGGCGTGGTCTGGCCTTGTTTACTAACACCAACTTGTGTGGGCTGAGTGAGGCTGATGACAGGTTGCTGGAGGGTGCTTGTGACAGTGGCAGTCGCCTTCCCCGCCACCGAGCGCTGCGTGGAGCTGAGCAGCACGGCCGCCGCTGACGGGATCGTGGCTATCGTCGCCTGCGTCGTCGGCTGCTGCTGCTGGCTCTGCTGAATGAAAGCTGCAGAGTCTGGTGTTAACTGTCTCAAGGCAGGTAAACTCCTCTGGAAGAGAGGAAAGAATTTCGTTGGGTTTTTTTTTTTTTTTTAGTCCTCACACAAGGAAATATGAATTGGAGAAAAACCACTGCGTTTCATTTCAATCTGTTGGATCGGTCCGTGTGCACCTGAGAAAAGATGGCAAGTGAGCAGGCAGGAATACCAGGCTGCTCACATTTCATAAGCAGGACAGAGGGACAATGCCTTTTGGATATCAAGGGCATCTAGGTTATGCAGCCTACCTGGAACCCTGGTACATACTTAACAACCCAAGCCCATGCTGCCCTCCTTGACTGTGCTTCTCCACACACTCCCAGCTACATGTGAAGGCTTAAAAGACATACTGGAACACCAAGGAGGATTTCAGAATAGCTCAGAGACCACAGTGTTTTACTGGATTCTTAAATTAGCTGTTTTCTTATGGCAATAATTTCCATCCTCAGGAACAGCTCAAGGTTGAACAAGCATTTAAGAACCCAGAAATGTCAACACACACCTACAACTATATCCCTTAATCATACATTAGTCAAGCAGTTACACTCTTACTATTCAATGCTGTCGTACTTTCTATGATTTTCTGATGGTAAATGTTTTGGAATAAACACTAATTTAAGATGTGTCCAATTACTACAAAATTTAAGACAAATGTGATTTATTATTAAGAGGTGGTAAATTTCTTGCTTATCCATACAAAGAGTTATATAGCCCAGGGAAAAGACTTGCCCAGAAGGTACAGTTTTCTGTATAATTCAATCCCTTGTTTTCTTTCCAGGACTAAAAAGAGAATAATAAATCAATTCATATGTTTGCTGGTCTAAGTCAGAGAAAGAAAACCTTTCAGATTTCTCAAAAGAGCTGTGATGTGACACTGGTAGAAATTACATTACCTACTGACTGTGCCAAAGAATCACACCAACAAACTGTTGGAACTCAGGCGAGGTAAAAATACTTTTTAAGGGAGCAAAAGTCAAATCAGGCACCATTTAAAACTTCCCTTTACATCATTTTGGAATTCTATCTACACTGGTAAAGGATGTGCTTGTGTTCATTGCTGCTGATATGTAAGCACAGAAATAAAGAAAAGCAGTGCATACAAGTTACCTTCAGGAAAGGCACAAGGTAAGGTTGAGGTGAAGAATTAAGTTCTCTGTACAGCCTACTGGTAAAGTCTTCTGGTTCAATTTTTCCATCCTTTAAAACAGAAAAACCAAATGAACAAACATTCAATACAAAAAAAAAATAAATGTAACAATTTATTGGAAATAAGTGGCTTCATAATCCTTCACTATTTTTAGTCACCAATAGCTTTATGGTAGTAACTAATTTTACTATTAATTCCAACTAGGAAGACCTACAGACCTCTAATTACCACATAACATCTGGAATATACAGCTCTACCTTGCACTAAAGGTTGCTAACAATGAGGCTAAGCAATACTAGTACTCATTCCATAAATATTAACTATATCAAAGCTTTACATCTGAATCATATAACATTAGGGTTTTTTTCCTAAAAATCTGTGATTTTGTACAGTCAGCTATTGCACTGGCTGTAGTGTCTTGTCTCAAGTACATAATAAATCTTTTTATTCACCATTTTCTCAAAATATAGAATTTAAAGAGCCATTATTCACATTACAGTTCAATTTAATTCATGTTCTCATGCATAAATATAAGTAGTAATACCTCATTTACAAACTCAAAGGAAAATTTATGCATCTATTTTAATTCAGAAGAAGCAAAGTTAATTTATCTCAGATTTTATAAACTCCCTCCTCTGAAGAAAAATAATTCAGACTCAGTTTTGAGTCTGAATTTGCCCAGATACTTTTCAACTTTTCTTACCAGCAGGTTCTGTACTAATTCTTTCACATTGGCCGCAGTCTCTGAAGACTGTTTTCCAGATGATGCCAGTTTTATTAATGTGGACAGGAAGTTTTTGCATTTCTTCACATTTTCCATAGTTTCCTTAGGAGGAAGAGTAGAAGGGAAACAGGGAAATGAAGATAAACTCTTTCATATGTGATCTGACCATATACTTTGAGAAATAAAGTTCATAACTGCAGACTATTATTTACAGATTTATGTTCCTCAATGATGAAGATATAATCAGACTGAAATTATGATTTTGCTTCATACATATCTATGTATTGTACATTTTTGTTATCAAAATGTAAGAAAGTATGATTCTTCATGAAGTTAGGAAATGCCAGTGATTTTAATAATGGCACATTGTGTATGAGAAAATGAGTGTTTTAGCAGGACAACAAATAGTAAAGCTTTTCTTTCACAGTGCGTGGATTCTCCCTGTTCTGCAGTCCTGGAAACATGGAGCTTGAATGAATCAGTGCCAACTTCTTATCCCTTGTCATACTGATTCTATTCTGCAGTACTGAACAATTCACTGTTCTATAAAATACATTTAATATGTTTTAAAAAAATGAGTGCTTTAAAACTGTTACAGAAATAAAAATTAATACTTTGACACTTTTCAAAATTTAAGAGACCTGTATCCACACGTTTTAGTTATATGGTTCTACTAAAGTTTACTTTTTCAACACCAATGGCTCACAAAATTCCTGCATGTTCACTGCTCTCCACTCTCTCTGTATTTACATTTTTGTGTGTATATATATATACATACATGCACATATGTATATGTGAATACACAAAGAGATGTTAAATTTATCAGTGTCTTACTGTGGCAGCAGTGGAGGTGGCCGTTGTTCCTTGCACTGTTCTCTGAGGAGTTCCAGTTTGTACAGCTGTTGCTGTCCCCAGCGTGGTTGTTTGTGCAGTACCACCCAGAACAATCTGAGGCTGCAGAGAATACAAACACAAGATTATTTTACTTGTAAGATATCAAAAAGCTGTTTTCCTGAGTCATCAAAACAGAAAACAAGCTCTGGGACAGTAGAACACCTTTCTCAGCTACTATAAATAAGTTACTAATGCGTGGTCGGTTGCAGTGAACAGAAAGAGCCACCAGATGGCACTAAACACATTCCAAACGGGAATCCCAAAAGTTGAAAAATTGCGCGATTTTTGGTCACTGAATAAAATACCATAAATATATCTTCAGCCACTGTGGTTTAAAAACACAGCTTGAATAAGTGCTGAATTCCTGTGAATGCAATAGCTTTTTCTACCTGTTTTGTTAAATGCCACTTCCAAAGGGAGGAATTTCTAAAAAGGCACAATGACAAAAGCTCGGATCTTCTCGAGGTCTTTGTGATGAACAATGGGACAAAACACTGTGCTAGTTTTGTAGACAGATCGGCAGCTCAAAGCAGGAACATCACCTCTAAAGAATCACCATTATAAACAAGAACTTCTCACGTACACAGCTCATTCATGGACTTCCAACACAGTCTAATTATTAACAACAACCCCGGGACAGCAATTCCTATCAAGTTACAGCTGACACTCAGAATTTTAACAAATCATTTGTAAACTTGCTCTTTATATAAAGGTGCACAAGAAAAGAGGCTCCAGTGCTGCCAAAGCTAACTTTCATTGGTATTTTGAGAGAAACTGAAGGAGACAAGGGTTTCATTTGTCTCATTTTTTTGAAATCAGGATAAACGAAGTCCATGGTGTGCTCATTACAGCATAAAATATGCAGATGGAATGATCTTTATTTTTTTTTGTCCAGTATAACAGCAGTGCAAATTAAGGGGACTCAGTTAGGTAAATTAACTCTTAGATCTGGAAAGATCACGGGCATAGGCAAAGGCTCTCTGAGGGAAAAAAGGTTAACTGGATGCATAGCAAAACCTGCATGTTTTAAATTAAAACTCTCTAATCCTGTCTACTCAAAGGATGAAGAAAGCACAATGAGACAGATTAGGCGACAGCAATCATATTGTACCAGTGCTGCCTGGAAGCCATGTGGAGAATTTCACACTCTTGCACTGTTTTTTAAACTCACACCACCATCTCTCAAAAAGCATTTCCACACAAGCCCATGATTACCAGAGGCCAGGCTATGAGAGGAGAGGACAGCCCAGACTGACACCACTGCCTGTCCTTCAGTTATCAGTCTCTAGAAGGACACAGACCAAAGCAGAGACCTGTGTGAGAGGGAGAAGGCTTGGGGAAGAGAAGGCTGCCAGTGCAGTTGTCTTTGCAATTGTAAATTTTGCTGCAGAATTCAGAGGACTGCAGATCCATCATAGGAATAACACCACAGCTCCAAATCCAAAGGGAATTCCTGTCACTTTCTTGAGGCAGAAGACATAAAGGTATTTTGTTTTAGTCAGCTCTGTGGCGATACAAACTACTAACAGGATACCTTTAAACAGAGATGCATATCAGTATAATATGAAATAATAATAACACAGATATAAAAAATTATACCCGTACATCCAAAATATACATTGAGAGCTGCCAGTGTTTTAGAAAGGATAATCCAGGAGGCATTTCTTCCCTGCACTTAGCAACTGCATTTCCTGTCTGTCTGGCAGTCTCATTTATACATTACTTTCCTACACACTCACTTGCACAACCGGGGGACGCTGTAGCGTTGTCGTGGGTTGCACTGTTGTTTGAGCCTGAGACACTTGCTTGATAATAGTAGTTGGTGTCACCTGTCGTGCAATAATGGGTGTTCCTGGAGCCTGGGGAAGAGGAAAAAAACCAAACACATCAGTACCCGTAGTTAAATATCCTCTACCTTATCTAGTATTTTGTCCCCGGACAGTTAATATTGCTACAGATACCAAAGAATGCATCGAAACCACTAGAAAACTGTGAGAAGGAATTTTAGACCTGAACCTAATGCAACTGTGTATATATACTCAGTGTATATATACCCATATCCACATTTTTCTTTTAGTCTTACACTTTCTCTGGGGAAAAGAGTTGTACACATCAACCATATGAGGTCTTCTCTGTATCAAAATTTTGAACTTAATGAGATCCAGATAGGTAAAAATATTTTTGATGAGTAACAGCCAAGCTGTAACAGAATTAGGACCAAAATACATCACCTTTACCATGTGGAAAGTAGATTTAGAGCAGATATTAGGAACAAATTCTTTACTATAAGGGTGGTGAGGCACTGGCACAGGCTGCCCAGAGAAGTGGACTCCCCATCCCTGAAGTGTTCAAGGCCAGGCTGGATGGGGCTTGGAGCAACCTGGGCTGGTGGCAGGGGAGCTGGAACGAGATGAGCTTTGAGGTCCCTTCCAACCCAAACCATTCCATGAATCTATGAAAAGCCTGTATAGCCCCAGTTAGATCTATGGTTTCTTCAATCCCTAACACCATACCTTCCTTACTTTTTGGCGTATTCCTCACAGGAAGAAAATAGATCTTACAGTTTTTAGCCCTACAAATCACTGAGCTGACCTGCACTGTCGATATCTGCACTGGGGGTGCACTGGTCGGTGTAGCAGGACGAGGAGTCAGAGTATTCTGAGGCTGGGACTGGGCGTGTGCCTGTGCTTGCATCTGTGCCAAGGCTTGTTGGGGGATCATCAGCAACTGCCCGTTCTCACTGCGCACAAGGACCATGCCTGGAAAACAGATACTGGTCAAGCAACACACATCCTTTCCAAACATGAAAGAACATCTTTTTCTGATCTTTTTATCCAAGTTGGATGCATATGGAATTAATGTCCTGCTGAAGGACTAAGCAACTAACAAAAGAGGTTTAGAATAAAATCAAAATACCCGGCTGCATTATGACATTTTGTGTAGAATAGCTTAATATCAGAAATACTCCTTCTCTATCTAAATGCTCAGTATATTGTGCATCAGAACACAGTGAGGTGTATTTGCCCCAACAAAAAATATTCCATGTGACTCAACATTAAAATTAGCAACATGTAAAAATACTACCTGCTGTTTACTAAGAAATTTGTTTTAGGAAACACTACAAATAAAAGAAAATCCTGCCATTAGGCAAGATTCCTGTTAAGAGGGGAAGAAAAATAATCAAACATAAGCTTTAGCATCAACAGGAACACAATTGTCTAAGTTCTAAATTAATTTCCCATAACCAATTCAGTAATGAAAGTGGCTATAAAATCATAATCTCTCTCATGTGCATCAGCAACAGGCTGCATTGTGCCGTGTTACACCCCAAAAGAAAAATAAAACAGAGAGGGAAATGAGGCCGTCATTCCCTGCTCAGTCACTCAGATCAATACACTTAACCCCACTGGGCAGCTGGAGGGAAACAGCTTTTAACAGGCAGATTTTCAGATGAGACTCTCTCTTCCTTGAAGATGCAAACAGGATCTGGACAATATGAACTGTTTTCCAAGAGCTCCTTCATTCCTCATGCCTCAGTCAGCCCAGGAGAGCCTCAGACCTCATCAGCTTTGAAAAAGCCACCTAAGGAAACAAACTGGGCACTCAGTTGGCTTTTGTGAGCAACTACAGGAGAAACCTTCACCATGAAAATCAAGAGGCACTACTGAAATCAGAAAGTTTTTCTGAAGTGTTGTTCAGTGAATCAAAAGCTCCCCAACAATATCTGGAGATCTGGTCTATGCCATCGCAGAGCATGACTACTTCAAAAGAGTCAAGCTTTTATTTGCTTTTCTATTCAGGTGAAGTGCCAAAATGTTTACAGACAATGCCTTAAACAGTTTTCTTGGACTGTTTGAAAGTTAAACTGCAAAAATCCATATACTTATTTCTATAAAAACGCGTTCAAAAGAAAAGCCTTAGTTGATTTGCCCCTAATGTTTCCATACATTCTCTACATTAACCCTCTTTTAATGAAGCAGTCATATAGAGACATTAAACTAGTTTACATCCAAAAGGTGATTTTCTATTGCAACTTAATTAGAAATGTTAAGGAGGGACCCACAATGTGCTATAGACAAGAGTTACATCTAGAAACAAATATTCTCAGACTGGTTTTCTGTAGGAAAGGGGGGGGAACTTATTTATAGTCTTGCAGACTACAGAAATAAATGCTCTTTGTTCAGCTGTCAAGTCCAAAAAACTATTTTCCAAGCCATTCCAAACAGTAATGTATTTTCTCCTGTAACTTATGTAAGAAGAAGTATTTTCCTTAAAACAGCAAGGGCACACACACCATCACCACAGCTTATGAGAACCTTAAAAGCCTTAATAGTGAACACAGAGCTTGATCCTGTCAGCTGCTCATCAGAACCATCACTACTTTATCTCCATCAGCCTCATGCTACAGGGAGGGGGCTACTGACAAAAAAAAAAAAAAAGAGAAATTCAACATTTTAAAGACTAAAGAGTGACCTACTACTACATCAAGCTCATTCCTGCACGAAAAGAACCTGCCATCCTCTTCCAATGTGCAAACAAAATCCTGAGAAATGAACTCACATTGCCCATTTTTGTCATTCCTCATAATAATCAGCTGAAGTAGATAAACACTGAATCAATGCAAATCTTCAATACTGTTATAACTGAAAGCATCAGTACAGTGAAAATCTGATTAGAGGAGCTATTTTCAAGTCAACATCAAATATTAAGGCTTGTTGGGTACTATTTAGTTTCTAGCAATGGAAAAGGCCCAATGCAACTACCTATGACTGTGCCTTCATCAAGTCCTTAAACATCACAGAATTATACTGACATCCCACAGAAAACTCTTTTTCTTAAAACTCACCATTTTTGGGGTTCCCTAGGATATTCTAAGGTTAATGTACCATACAAATTCTTTAAAGCTATATATTTTTTCCTTACAGAAGCAACATAAGAGACACTAACTGTAGTTTGGGAAGAGGGGATTGTTTTTTAAACTTCTCTCTCAGTGAAATGTGACTAAAATTATTTGAAAGCACCAAGTCAAAACCCCTCACCTGCATATGAGAAACTTTTATAGCATCAGAGCTCTGTGATAACTGCTCCTGTCTCCAGTTCAACACACACATCAGTCTCAGGAATGGGTGTGCACCACCCACTAATGCCCTGCAACATCACAACTACCCTTCGGCACAGCAGTCCTGCCAACTAACTGGTTTTCTCCCCAAAATATGAATGAGAAGAGAGAAAAGAGGGGAAATAACCACGAAATGAAGGTTGGATACCCATAGAGTGCAAGCACAATGTCTGAACAATGAAATATTCTCCCTGAGCTACATGCAAAATTAGAACATGCCTACACATTAACATAGCACAACTGCTCAAACAGACAGTTGAAAAGCACAGTAATATGAGCTTTAGAAAACATATCAAGAAAGTTCAATTTCTGGCAGCAGACAGATAAAACAATCATTTGTAATTCAAACCCTGACTTTAAGTACTACCCTGCTAGATTTCTAACTATGGGAAGTCTGAACTTTCCGTCAAGTATTGAAGTCATAATAAAAAAGTAACTCATACAAAGCTACATTTGAACAGTTCTTTCATTCCCACTCAAATTTGATACACAGTTATTTTCAACTTAGAGAGTTTCTAAGGTGTCATTAACTCAGGGTCTACCCCTGATAAATTCCTGTGCACACATACTGGGCTATATACAAACATAAAGACAATTACTAATATCTGACTAGTCTTGCATAAACTTTAATCATGGTATGATGATATGAGACATTTTACCTGCTTGGAATGTTGGTGTATGAGTGATTTAGGACAAGGTGTAAAAATTCAGATTGTGATGAACCTGGTTACTGAAATTTCTGTGCAGCAATTCACCAGTACTACAGTCTGCAGGCAAGTAAGTTTTGACTGAACAAACACATAACACCCCTCAAGCCTTGTTGAGAATTCTTTAAAAAGGGAGGGGGAGCTGCTCTCTCAGCTTCTCTCCCCCCAGCCCAACTACAGACTCTTTTCCAACCCAATTAGCTAAAAAAGGAAGTCACTAACCCAAAACTACACCCAGGTTGGCACTAAGTGGATTTTCAGTGAAGTTCAGAAGGCTCATTGGTGCTAACTCGATTAAGAATTAAAAAGAAAGTCCCATTTATCTCCTCCTTCTAAACAACGTCAGTGTAGGACTGTAACAGCCCCCTCTCAGTGTAGGACTGTAACAGCCCCCTCTCTCCATCCATACGTGAATCTCAGTTGATCCATTTGTGGCAGTAGAACAGAGGAAGGGCTGACAGACACATGTGTAGGAAAACAAATTTCTTTCTCCTACGTTCCAAAACTTATATTTTAAATATTTAAGTACAGGTGAGTATCATAACCTCAAACTCCAGTGCATAAGGCTGGAAATGCTGAATGAACCAGGTCAGAACTGACCACCAGGTACTAGTAGATAGCTGGTATTTTATAAGGTATCTCACTGTTTCAATTAAATTTAGCAACATATTTAAAGTAGGATGAAAAAGGATGAAAAAGATCTTTCTGTTTCAAGTTTATCATCCAGGGGTTTGTTCCACAAATGGATAAATTACTATTTAAGCTCAAACAGCTAATAAAGATAATTGGAAATGTTCAATTATAAAAAGGTGACAATAAAACTTGTTCATTTTAAATATCTCTCTGCCTTATTTTTCCTAGACAGTCTGATCACGTGTACTGTAAAATCATACTCAATATTAAAAATGCAAATATTCAAGCATTCTTTCCAAGTCTCTCATTAAAAAACTAATTAAAATTAAAATTAATTACCATTTTTGTTAGAAGTCAGAGGCTTAAGAGAATCCTGAAATAGGCTCATATTTTAGTTTGAATTAAACAATTCATCACGGCTCCAAATGAAGGATTAACAAAACTGAGTTGGATTGCTCCTTAAGCCAAAGGGACTTGTGCTCTTGACCAGTACAATGGTCATCCCACGTGTTCTTGTTGTGGAGATCTTCCCAGATCTCTCCTGTTTACCAGAGTGTTTGGAAGGGAAAATGTCATTATTATAGGATGTAGCTGCATGATTCTACAGTGTCATCTTTGCCTCTTGCTTATTTGTGTTTCCATTTGCTATCGGCATTGCCATTTACAAAGTGCTGTGCTTTGGGGGTTTGTTTCTTTGTTGGTGTTTTTTTTTCTTTTAATTAATAAAACTTGTGAAATTACGCACTGGAATCAAAAGTGAAGAGCTCTGGCCATAGGACATGTCAGAAAAACACAAACCAGGCTTTTTTCAAATGTCTCCCTCTTCCTTATTTCTTTGAAACATGGTTTGGCTTAGCAAAGACTAAAGAAAAAAAAATAACAGAATAATAAAGAAGACTAATAAAATATTGTGCAGCCTTTGCAGACCACTCTGATTATCTGTCTAATTCTCAAGACATTCTTGCTAGAGAACCTCTACATCCAAAAAGAAAAAAAAACCACACAAGTTTCCTGTTTTGTTACCAGTTTTTGCTGGTAAATCTTAATTAATAATATGTATAGGAGCTGGACTTCTCAAGGAGAGAGTTAAAACTTGCTGCAGGTATAGCAGGCACCTTCAGATCAATGTTCTGAGGAAATCCCCAGTCCAGCAGACTGTCCCCTCTCACTGCCATACCAGCAGGAGTATCTGGGTGTCACCTCCCAGGACAAATGCTCCGTGTTTCAGGGACTGCATCCATACCACAGGTGACACGCTGAAGGACTTCACCTACAGTTAGCAGGCACGTAACAAGAGGAC